ATGTAAAGTTTGAAGTTGCCAGTGTAGTGTAAGTCTGTATTGACAGTTAATTGATTTACACATGAATATATCTAAAAAAAAATTAATATATATGCTAGGTAGCTAATTCAAGTAAATATATTATAAGCACTGAATATACATTTATAGTGATGGACAGGCATGCAGTTTTATCTATTTCGTATATTAAGTTCAGAATACGACAGTTATAAGCCTTCTATAATGCAGACGATTTATTATTCTCTATGATTTGAATGCGAAATTATCCCGATTTCCGAGTTTTACTTTCGATATTAAAAAATATTACATACACTCAAAAAAGGAATTAAGCGATAGAAAATTGTAATACAGTACTGTTTTAAAGCCTTTATAAATAAATTGATATCTGCCACTGAAAAGAAGAAAATCAATCTATAGATTAGATTTGGTTATTACATGTATATTTGATAAAGGTTAAATTATTTATGACACATGATCTATACTCTATATACCCAAGGAATTATAAAAGATGTGAAAAGGCGATTCTTGGATTCTTGTGAAATACTCAAAGAGTTAAAAAAAATTATGTGAAAACGCGATTCTGTGTGAAATAATGCTACGCTGAATGTTTCTTTTGAAAAAAAAAAAAAAAAAAAAAAAAAAAAAAAACCATGATAAAAAAAAAATGCACAGGTCTGTGGATATGTGCACGTGGGATAAGTATACCTGAATGAGCACAATAATATATAATTATGTACATGCAACTGACGTCCGTACTTTTCTCTATAATTCATAAAACATAACACTATCTAATTCCTTTGACCCCCCTCCCCCCCCGTCTTGATTAATATTTGGAGACGTTCGTGCAGCTTGGCATTTGAATTATATATTCGTTTTAGATTTAAATATGGAACATGTGGTTATAATAAACATTTACATGTATACAGAATTTCGTATTCTATAATGGTACATTTGTCATTATGTCTACATATCTGAGAGAGAGAGAGGAAGAGAGAGAGATTCCCTCTTAATCCCGATCCTCCTATCCATTTACATAGACCAAAAATTAGTTCTATATTAGTCACACCCATTCTTTATTAAATGTTTTCTGATTTCATAGTCATGGTCACATCCTGTATATTTTTCTGCTTAAAAAAGTATCACACGAAGTGCACGTGTGTTGACCTGTCAATCAAAATCGCCTGACGCTGTATGCACTGCATGCAATAAAGTAGCCTGAGTTGGAAATAATCTTGAAGTGTGATCTTTAAGTAAATCTGATGCAACAAACTTGTGAAAAAATAAAATAAAATAAAAAAAATGAAATATCTCGGTATAATGAACTTCGATTGTGGGACGTGGAGACCGGTCCTTTAGATGAGATCGTATAAATCGTTAAACAACATATGATCAATCAATCAATCGATTGCTGAATAATTACTCTAACTGAATAATCTTTCTTATAGGTATGCTGTCAAATCTTGATATTATAACTTTATAAAACTCAGTAACTTTACGTTTAATGTGATACTAACTTAATTCATTATATTTTTTTTATAACACCATCACAATTATGCCAGAACGTATACACAGTGAAGTTTATGATAGTACGGTGTTCGTTCGTCTGTTTGTTTGTCTAAGAAATGATTGCAAACATTTTTTTTTGATTGCTAATTATCATTGCTCTATGATATACGTATATCTCTTACAGGTGCCAAATGCATTATACAAGATTGATCATGAAAATCAAAGTACCTTAAGTACTGAAAGAACTTTTTTCCAGTTATTTTTTTCTTTCACAGTATATATGATATGTATGTTTTTACCCAGAAAAAAAAGCAAATTCTTACAGATTTAGAAGAACGGAAGACTTTTTTGTTGCCATGGCAACAAGAGTCTAGTTATTATTATTATTATTCCTCCCAAATTTTGTGAGCGCGATTACTCAGAGATGGTTGGATAGATTTTCACAATTTTTCACATGATAGTAGGCTGATATATGAAGTTTATATAAAATTCCGTTTTTTGAAAAATTCACTTCCGGTCCGAAGTTACGGCCGAATTTCCAATTTTTAAATGGACTTTTGTCCGGAATTTTTCTCGGAAACGGTTTGAGGTAAAGATGTGAAATTTACAGGAGTATTAGATCATGACATTCTCTTTGTTTCGAAGTTGTTTTCGTGTGTGTCCGGTACTTCCTGTCCGAACCGGAAGTGAACTTGTGTTTGGTCAATTTTCAACTTTTTTGTTTTTTAATATTTTTTCAAGATATTATTATGTATAACAGAGGTTATTCTACAAATACTAAATATATAATTTGTTTTGAAATCAGATTCCACATTTTGCAGATTTTCGGTACCGTCATTTTCCCTATTTACCTAGTGTGTAAACAATGGGCAAAGAAAGATAACTCTGACTTGTAAGTGAGAATAGAACTTTCGAGATAAAGGCGGAAATAGTATCGATGACGTCAGAGACATATACACTCTCCATATCAAAATATTTAGACGTTCCATATTCACTCTTCTAAATGTAAGAGTACGTTGGTTACCGCTTCCAGTGCGTGTATAGTTTAAAGTTGCCAGTGTAGTGTAAGTCTGTATTGACAGTTAATTGATTTACACATGAAAAAATCTAAAAAAAAATTTAATATATATGCTAGGTACCTAATTCAATTAAATATATTATAAGCACTGAATATACATTTATAGTGATGGACAGGCATGCAATTTTATCTATCTCGTATAGTAAGTTCAGAATACGATAGTTATAAGCCTTCTATAATGCAGACGATTTATTATTCTCTATGATTTGAATGCGAAATTATCCCGATTTCCGAGTTTTATTTTCGATATTAAAAAATATTACATACACTCAAACAGGAATTGAGCGATAGAAAATTGTAATACAGTACTGTTTTAAAGCCTTTATATTTAAATTGATATCTGCCACTTAAAAGAAAGAAAATCAATCTATAGATTAGATTTGGTTATTACATGTATATTTGATAAAAAGTTAAATTATTTATGACATATGATTTATATTCTATATACCCAAGGAATTATAAAAGACGATTCTTGGATTCTTGTGAAACACTCAAAGAGTTTAAAAAAATATGTGAAAACGCGATTCTGTGTGAAATAATGGCACGCTATATGTTTCTTTTGAAAAAAAAAACATGAAAAAAAAATTGCACAGGTCTGTTGATATGTAGGATAAGTAAACCTGAATGAACACAATTTTATGCAATGATATATAATTATGTACATGCAACTGACATCCGTACTTTTCCTTATAATTCATAAAACATAAAACTATCTAATTCCTTTGAAGCCCCCCCCCCCCTTCGTCTTGATTAATATTTGGAGACGTTCGTGCAGCTAGGCATTTGAATTATATATTCGTTTTAGATTTAAATCTGGAACATGTGAATATAATTACCATTTACATGTATACAGAATTTCATATTCTATAATGGTAGATTTGTCATTATGAAATGTTCAATTTACGTCTGAGAGAGAGAGAGGGAGAGAGAGATTCCCTCTTAATCCCGATCCTCCTATCTATTTACATAGACCAAAAATTAGTTCTATATCAGTCACACCCATTCTTTATTAAATGTTTTCTGATTTCATAGTCAGTCATGGTCACATTCTGTATATTTTTCTGCTTAAAAAGTATCACACGAAGTGCACGTGTGTTGACCTGTCAATCAAGATCACCCGCGCTGTCTGCACTGCAATAAAATAGCCTGAGTTCGAAATGATCTTGAAGTATGATCTTTAAGTAAATCCAATGCAACAAACTTGTGAAAAAATAAAATAAAATAAAATAAATAAAATATCTCGGTATTATAAACTTCGATTGTGGGACGTGGAGACCGGTCCTTTGGATCCTTTAAATCGAGGTCCCGTGTCGCAGAAGGTGTTGGCACAAAAAAGATTCCTCACTGATCAATGGCGATAAGTGCCAAAGTATAGGACAAAAATTTGCAGTCTCCACCGGCGAGTGCTGGCGTCTCCATGTGAGTGATAAATTCTCGAGAGGGACGTTAAAGAACAAACAAACAAACAAAAAAAGCAAATTTGAGAATTTATCATATATACACCCGTAGTTGGTGCATCACTTTTATTTAAACTTTGGAAGGATGACCAAGAAAAATTTAATTAGAAATTTTAATGAACTAAGCAAACAACCTACTCATTGTTAACACTTTGACCTGTTTCAAAGAAAGTGGGTCCCAACAGTAACGCACTAAAATCACTTGACTCTGACACAGATTTAGTGTTTCGGTGGTGCAATACGAGGCTTATATTAGAATTTTAAATAGGTAATTAATTAGCTGTGAATTTGCCATCATCGGAAAGACGTGTTACTGACTAAACATTTAATACAAGTATGAAAACGGGCATCTCCAGCATACGTTTGAATTCTACATATCATTCACATGAATAGAATGGATTGATCATAACACGAGAGCGTTTGATTATCTAATACGCTAAATGTTTTTCTTTTCTTGTCATATAATGAGAGGATTTGACCAGTGTGATAAATGGGCCAAATGATTCTAAGAGAAGAAGATGAATAGTCAATCAATCAATCAATCAATCAATCGATTGCTGAATAATTACTGTAATTGAATAATCTTTCTTATAGGTATGCTGTCAAATCTTAATATTATATTATATTCAAAACTCAGTGACTTTACGTTTAATTTGATACTAACTTAATTCATTATATTTTTTTATAACACCATCACAATTATGCCAGAACATATACACAGTAAAGTTTATGATAGTACGGTGTTCGTTCGTCTGTTTGTTTGTCTTAGAATTGATTGCAAACATTAGGGTCTGTAAGTCTCGTCACGTGACTCGCGAGATTTTTCGATAATATTAACTTCCGGGTACCTTACACATGGAGATGTGTATTGGGTTACACATGTTTATGGTTTACACAAAGCGTACAAGGAAAGATTAAGCAGTTGTACAAAGCCGAAGGGTTCTCCGACGTACGATGGATGAATTGAGCGTCATAAAAGCTTGGATGCGAGCATCCAGGAGGAGAATTTCGATCGAAGTACAGGTAAACAAGTCGGAGAATGTCACCTGTTTCTTGTGTATTCTTGGGGGAAATCGAAGTGTCTTGTATCATACCTGGATGGAATAGTTTTGTAATCACCATTCCAATTAATTTATTAACAGATTTTTCTTGAATTCGACAACAATGACGTTAATACCAGCTGATAAAAGAGGAATAGTGTAAGTGCCCGATGGATACGAACGTCATCTTGTGACTGCATCATCTTTGTTTGGGTAAATAATTTGTTCAGAATACGCTTCATTTATCAACAGAATTTTAGCTGTTGCGTGCCAGTGAGTCTAGTCTTAAGCATTCAATGTTTGAAAGAACATATTTCCCAAGGATAGATTTTCTTTATAAATTCTGCCAATTCTCTCTGTATTTATCATTGAACAAAATTCACATGACTGCAACAATATGACCATATTCTTCAGTTTAGAGAGCATGTTATAGAGGAGATTTTGGTTAAAGTTTCAGTCTGTTAAGGTTTCAGTCTGTTTCAGTGTTTGAAATATTCTTTGTGCATCTAAGGAGTTGATCAATGATGGGTCTAATCAATATTCACAAATGTCACATATGCATATAACCAACATGTCAGCGATGTATATGATATATCTCTCAAGAAATATCAAAGTGTAAAAAAAAAAAACACCATTGGACAAATTTTTCTATGCATCTGAATCATTTATAACACTAAAATTGTATTTAAAAATTAGGCTAACAATAATGTCAAAGAACAATATAGTCTTTAACACATAAGTACAATTTTGCATTCATTTGTCTATTCACTCTATTGTATTAAATGAGGTTCATTTGCATATAAATGTTGTTAACATTGTTTTACTGTCTTTAATAACTTGTAATACTAAATTTTATAACTTGACAAATTCTTCTTTTTAGAAAATGCATATAATTTGGAAAAGAGACCACCAATCCACTGGGGGGTATCGCATGAAAGCAATGGTATTACAGAATATTGTAAAGCTGGACGAGTTATAGTGAAACAGGTAGGCAAGTACTTTGTTCTTGGAATTTTTTGCCCCAGTTAAGTTTTATTTTTCTCATTCGGCCCTCATTACAAGTAGGTGAATTTAAAGCGGGGCAAATTCAAAGAAGGTAGCATATATTTTTTAAACACAAATGTGCTTCGTCAAATTTTAAAAGGGAAAAATTGTTTTCAAGAGTGAAAGAGTGAATATATTAAAAATTAAAATGGGGTGAAAATACCCAATAATACAGGTTATATGTATTTGTGTATTAACACAGTATATTCTTCATAATGAAAATAATTTGTTCTGTAAAAGGACAAATTTTGTTCTGATTTGTATTTAATAAAAAAAAATAAATGCCAGATTTATAACATATTTTGCAGGCACCTAAATCACCATCAGTTGTGTGTCAAGCTGTGCAAAAATTCTATGTCATATTACAGAATCTTTTCTTAAATACAGGTATATGTCTGCTCATCTGGCAATCTTTGGACATCACTGGATGGTACTTCCAGCATGAAGACCAGCTAGTTGCCTCACCTGTCTTGACATTGTTAAAGGTAAGTGACCCTTTCAGAAAAGGATCTGACAATGCAAAGGCTTGCTCATCAATTAAAGATTTCTATTTACCAATAGCTAATTAATTTGAATTTCTGTAGCTTAAAAATTTAATGATATGAATTAAAAAAAATATTTTAATCAAAATTATTTTTATTTCAGTACTTTCAGACAGTGAAAAGACATGGCTCTAAATTACTGCATCAGAGATCTATCCAGTTTATAAATCTGAGGAAAACAATAAAGCATCATTTGGAGCTACTTATATCACTGCCTTAACGAGTTGTCTGCCGACAGGGCATCCTTAAAAACTTCAGTCGCACTCGTCACTTAGAATAGAAAACTTCATAATTTTATAACTTTTGTATCAATCCTTTTGCACTTCATCTGACTTGGAATTTCAGTAGCCTTTACATGTAACATCCTTCAAGCATTTCATGAAGTACCAATTTGCAGGTGTAAAATGTTTGTCCCAAATGAAACAAAAAAAAAATTCTCTGGCAGTTAGCAGTGTCATGAGCAGTTGATTGATGTCACAGTTCCACCGGCATAGTATTTATAGTTGAATGGTGCCATTTTTAAGAAAACTTTTCACAAAAACCTGGAAAACATCAGATGGAAAGGAGCATCTACAAGAAAAACAGTGAACACTTTCTTGAATATTAACAATGATATGTCATGCCCCATTTACATCCTTTATATAAACTAATTAACCAAATCATAGAGAATTATATACAAATTTGTCCTTTTGTGTATTTATAGTGTATTAAATTGATTTTACTAATTTATAAATATTTATGTTTTTCGCAGTCATTAATATTTACAAATAGAAGTACATATAACATAAAAATATTACATGTTTATTAGGATAACATGAAATTGTTATTCCTCAAAAACCATCGCTGACCGAGGCGAACAATGGTTTTCAAGGGGTAACAATTTCACATTACCCAAAATAAACAAATAATATTTTCTTGTTTTAGAATGCATTTGAAAGAAAACATCCAGGTGAAACGAACATGCAAATATTCTGCACAGCCAACAATCTTTATTACTCTATATTTACATTTCCAATGTCTTTGTCCGAGATAAAATTTCAAATAGTAAAAATACTTTATTTCTACATCGATATACTGGTTCATCCATAGGCGAGGTGAAAAAAAAATATCACGTGCGGAGCGGGACAAATAGAGACGGAAGCGGGGCTTGAAGCACGTGAATTTGCAGGATCAAGAGCATGTATATATAAGAAATAACTGTCAGATTTTTTGGTTTCATGACGATGATCAATCGATTGGCTTGCGTCATAATTTTATGCATAAACGCCTTCGGCGTTTATGCAAATTATCACGCAAGCCACTCGATTGATCACATCATGAAACCAAAAAATTAGACAGTTATTCCTTAAATATACTGTTACCCTTAGTCATGCATTTTCAACCATTGGGATGTAATGTTTGGCATGCAGTAGGGTAATAGTACTTGTTAACAAATGTTTTTAAACCAAATTTGACTATTTAACAGGAAAGTATATGAAAAATTTAACTAGCATTATGGTGCTGAGAATAACCATGGTATGTGAGCTTGTGTGAACTTGATCCTGAATTATTATGTTTTGAATATTGTAAAAGAAATGTGCAGCCAAAACTTTGACCTGTACCTGATTTAGATGGAGCCTTTTTGGAAGTTGTCACACTGTTTACGAGTGTAATAACTGGATTCTGCTTCATTTGCAGATACATGGATAACACATTCACTCAAAGCACTGTCCCTTTTTCAGTACCTTGTGCAGCCCTGTAATATATAATGACATATGGAGAAAAATTCTATTTCAAGAAAAATATCTGTCATATTTGTAGGAGTATTGGAAAGGGGGGAAGGGTGTCATGAAGCTTGGCAGTTAATATGTGTACATGAAAAAATACCTTCTTTTTTGTAGAATAAAAAAAGATTTTCTTTTTTTAGTGTGTGACTATTTTTATTTCTGGATAGACCATGTAGACAGGGTAGACTACAGAATGAGCTGTCCATTTTTATTCATTGTAGTAATCAAATTAAAAAAAAATAGAATGTGTTCTCTACAAGGATCATGTGTTATCGACGTGGTAATCAACTTTGTATTCCCATGGTCGATGCATTCCCGATCTCATGCACACCTGTCCAATACTCCAAAATAGACCCTTGTAAGCTAAATCAATGCAATAAATTTCTGAAACCAATCTGTAGATAAGCTTACCTTTTGAATACAGACTATTTTAGCATTAAAACGATTTAATTTTCCCTTTATGCTTAAGTATGTTGGCTAATCTTGGTCCGCTCAGAATGGCTTGTGTTTACGTCATGTAATGAAAAAATAAAGCAATTAAACGCTATTTACCTGCATCTATCAATCCATTTTCTCCTCTTCTTTGCAACAATCGGGAATCAAAACAAACTACAATTTTTATAATTCCACTGCGATGCTTACAACTTAAAGCGAAGCAGTAATCCATTGTCTCCAAGAACGCTCAGGTACCCGGAAGTTTAAAAACGAAAGTGAAAGTAAACGAGACTTACAGGCCCTAATATGATATACGTAAATATCTCATAGGTGCCAAATGCATTATACAAGATTGATCATGAAAATCAAAGTACCTTAAGTACTGAAAGGACTTTCCTCCAGTTATTTATTTCTTTCACAGTAAATATGATATGTATGTTTTTTACACAGAAAAAAGCAAATTCTCACAGATTTAGAAGAACGGAAGACTTTTTTGTTGCCATGGCAACAAGAGTCTAGTTATTATTATTATTATTATTCCTCCCAAATTTTGTGAGCGCGATTACTCAGAGATGTTTCGATAGATTTTCACAATTTTTTACAGGATAATAGGTTGATATGTGAAGTTTATAAAAAATTCCGTTTTTTGAAAAATTCACTTCCGGTCCGAAGTTTTGACCGAATTTCAAATTTTAAAATGCACTTTTGTCCGGTGTTTTTCTCAGAAAGGGTTTGAGGTTTAGATGTGAAATTTACAGAAATAATAGATCATGACATTCTCTTTGTTTCTACGTGATTTTTGTTTGTGTCTGGAACTTCCTGTCCAAACCGGATATGAATTTGTGTTTCAGTTAATTTTCGACTTTTTTGTTTTTAAATATTTTTTCAAGATATTTTTAGGCATAATAGAGATACGTCCATAAGTGCCAAATATTTGATTTGTTTTGAAATCAGATCACCCGTTTTGTAGATTTCAGCTATTTTCGGTTTGCTTAAAAAAATCAAAGTACTGAAAGTACTGAGAGGGCATTTCTTACTTTAACTTACATGAAGGTTATGTTTACATGTTTCTCTGCATACAAAAATCAATACATACAGTATCATATATCAGAATGAAGACCACATTTAATTGCAGTAAATATCAAAGTACCTGAAGTACTGAGAGGACTGTTTTAGATACCCACTTTTTTTCTTACTACAGTATAGTATAAACAAGCATGTTTTTCTATACATAAAAATCAATGCACACAATAAGTTATCTATGGAAGCTATTTTCATTAGCCAATAAAAATCACAGTACCGTAAGGACTGAAAGGATATTTAGTATTGTTTTTTACTTTGACTTATATAAAGATGTTTCTCTAAATGCAAAATTCAATTCATACACTACATGTTTTATAATTTCTCATGTTTATATATAAGTACGGTGGATACTTCCATTTTAGCAGTGAAAATCAAAGTACTGTAAGAACTGACAGGTTGTTTTCTAGATACCCCCCCCCCCCATTTAACTTTTAAATTTAAAATTAGTTTAGATATGCTTCTACTAATGAAAAAATATGCATACAATTTCATATATAAGGACAACAGATACATTAATTTTTGCAGTAAAAATCAATGGATGAAAAGTACCGAAAGGACAAATTTTAGATTCTTTACAACTTAATTATTACATACTGTACACGTTTCTCTACAGAAAAAAAAAACAATGCAAACGATATCATATAGGAACGGAAGACCTTTTTGTTGCCATGGCAACAAGAGTCTAGTTAAGTCTTCCGTTCACAACGGAAGACTTATAGTGATTGTATTGTTTCTTTTTATTATTATTATTATTATTATTATTATTATTATTCCTCCCAAATTTTGTGAGCGCGATTACTCAGAGATGGTTGGATAGATTTTCACAATTTTTCACATGATAGTAGGCTGATATATGAAGTTTATATAAAATTCCGTTTTTTGAAAAATTCACTTCCGGTCCGAAGTTACGGCCGAATTTCCAATTTTTAAATGGACTTTTGTCCGGAATTTTTCTCGGAAACGGTGTGAGGTTAAGATGTGAAATTTACAGGGGTATTAGATCATGACATTCTCTTTGTTTCGAAGTTGTTTTCGTGTGTTTCCGGTACTTCCTGTCCGAACCGGAAGTGAACATGTGTTTGGTCAATTTTCAACTTTTTTGTTTTTTAATATTTTTTCAAGATATTATTATGTATAACAGAGGTTATTCTACAAATACTTAATATATAATTTGTTTTGAAATCAGATTCCACATTTTGCAGATTTTCGGTACCCTCCTTTTCCCTATTTACCTAGTGTGTAGACAATGGGCAAAGAAAGATAACTCTGACTTGTAAGTGAGAATAGAACTTTCGAGATAAAGGCGGAAATAGACATATACACTCTCCATATCAAAATATTTAGACGTTCTATATTCACTCTTCAAAATTTAAGAGTACGTTGGTTACCGCTTCCAGTGCATGTAAAGTTTGAAGTTGCCAGTGTAGTGTAGGTCTGTATTGACAATTAATTGATTTACACATGAATATATCTAAAAAAAAATTAATATATATATGCTAGGTAGCTAATTCAAGTAAATATATTATAAGCACTGAATATACATTTATAGTGATGGACAGGCATACAGTTTTATCTATTTCGTATATTAAGTTCAGAATACGATAGTTATAAGCCTTCTATAATGCAGACGATTTATTATTCTCTATGATTTGAATGCGAAATTATCCCGATTTCCGAGTTTTACTTTCGATATTAAAATATATTACATACACTCAAAAAAGGAATTAAGCGATAGAAAATTGTAATACAGTACTGTTTTAAAGCCTTTATAAATAAATTGATATCTGCCACTGAAAAGAAAGAAAATCAATCTATAGATTAGATTTGGTTATTACATATATATTTGATAAAAGGTTAAATTATTTATGATACATGATCTATACTCTATATACCCAAGGAATTATAAAAGATGTGAAAAAGCGATTCTTGGATTCTTGTGAAATACTCAAAGAGTTAAAGAGTGTGTGAAATAATGGTACGCTATATGTTTCTTTTGAAAAAAAAAAACATGATAAAAAAAATTGTACAGGTCTGTTGATATGTGGGATAAGTATATCTGAATGAACACAATTTTATGCAATGATATATAATCATGTACATGCAACTGACATCCGTACATGTACTTTTCCTTATAATTCATAAAACATAAAATTATCTAATTCCTTTGAAGCCCCCCCCCTCCCCCCGTCTTGATTAATATTTGGAGACGTTCGTGCAGCTAGGCATTTGAATTATATATTCGTTTTAGATTCTGGAACATGTGAATAACATTACCATTTACATGTATACAGAATTTCATATTGAACCTTACACCGCATTCTGTTATATTCTTAATATTATTGTATAGACGAAATTTGGTAAAGGACTATGTCCGCTCCATTTCTCCAGAACAGCTTAAGATATGAAAGTTAACTTTGTCAGATATCATAGATAAT